AGGAGGAGGAGGAGGAGGAGGAGGAGGAGGAGGAGGAGGTAATAAAACCACGACAAGGGAAACGAAGGAATAAGCTCAAACAATAGCACCACCAGTGATGAACATTTGTCAATTTGTTGCGAAATGCATAGATAATTTGACAGTTTAAGGCAAATCCATGCATGTTAATCTGCTTACCCTTTAATTGATGCAATGTCAATGAGGTGTGAGTGTGATGGAAAGAGTAAGTTTACAGTGCCCGAGCATTTCGCACGACTGTTGACAGGGTGTTGGAATAAATTAAAGTGACACCAACTCCACTTTCGTCACTCCTCTCTTTTTAGCTAATGTCAACAAAGGAGAAAACAAGGAGAAGACGTCATACCACAAGCCTTATTTTTAGCTCCTATTTACGCATTGAAGGTGACCAAACAAACCACCACCACTCAAAAGAGGAAGCAGGATACAGAAGTTGGAGACTGAGGCTTCCCAACATCTCTACGAAAGCGACACACTTCTCCAGGGGAGAAAATTAGCCTGCCTGTTCCTTCTCCCCTGAACACGGATGTTGTGCACTCGACAGGCGGCTGCTATACTTCGTTATCGATGTTGACATCCAAGGAAAGTGATGAGCCTTGCACAAACGGTGATTCCTCCATCGTCTGTAGAGAAACGGACGTGTGTTCCACAACCAATCCGCTGGCATGAGCACGAAAGTATCAATGCCAAGACGGGTGCCGAGAGAGTGCCCACCACAATTAAGCAGAATGCATTCAGCATATCAAATCTACACTACGGCGAGAGAGCTCGGTATCCCCATTTCATGCAACTCCATGCAGCTCTTCACATCATATTGTGACAGCTGGATGGAACTGTGAATCCATTCCGCAAAGATCTCACTTATTTCCACATATTCACGCTGTGTTGAAGTGGACGTTGAGCCTCATCTCACCGAATCCATCAACATCGACCCAACTGTCCACCAAAGCGATCTCGGTAGACTCAAACTGATGGCAGTGTGCTTGCTTGTTGCAGACAACTCGAATCCCACAATGATGCGTGCACGAGAAGCTCTCATTTTTTGACGCGGTCAGTCAAACTCACCCTGAGAGGTGATTGGCATACTCCCAGTCAATTTATTACCTCCTGTCATCGACAAGCATGCAATAAAGACTAATAAAGGTACAATGTGTCTGTCCCCAGCGTTGCATTGCACTAGAGAGGAATGGGTAGAAGCTGTCTTAACTTCTCTCTCTCTCTCGCCCTCTCCTCATGTAGCCCCTCTCTGCTCACTTTCTCACCAAGCCTCGGTCCAATCTCCTCGACAGAAGACGGTTTCGCAATTTCGTTTGGAATTAAATTAATCAACACCAGCCTCGAGTTGATTTGTATTTGGCGGTATATTTAATGCTGCTGCTGCTGCTGCCACTGCTTCGGCAATTGAGGCTGCAGCAGAAGCAGCAAATTTGGATGCGCCTTTTTTGCCAAAATCTAAAACTTTCACTTAATTAATTAAATTAAAATAGATTTAAGTAACGCAAGATGTGCATTCGCTTAATTAAAATAATTCACAATCGCTCCACGCACACTCTCAAACAAACTCGTAAACCCGTATTCGGTTGATTTAAGCCCCTAGGGAGGGTGGGGGTGGGGGGGGGTTTGGAGGGGTGGAAAGGGGTTTTGAAAACCACCCTCCGGATGATCATCACTTGCGGAGGACGAGGATTCCCAGGTCTTAAAGCATGGCGCCGTACTTATTACTACTGCCCTCCTACTCCCTCGACCAAGTAAACAAAAGATAAAATACACCACATGGGAGGACCTTCTTGATTCTTTTTCATCCCTTTTTTTTCCAACTTATCAAGTAAACTCTACTTCTTGGCCAACTTGTGAATTTGAGGGTGATGATTGAATGAAATTAGGAAGGTAGAGGATACAAGGGTCAAAGCATATGTGTAGGCCTAGAGAAAGGCTTGCCTACCTCACTTTAGCAGATGTGTGGAGTGAACGAAAGTGTCAAACACATCGGTTTCACAGCAAGGCCTGACCATCTATTAGGCATCTTCCCCACGTGACAGACATCCTACTCATCGGTTGAGTGGTGTGATTTCAAGTGAGTGGGTAAGAAGACATTTTAAATTTAGCACTCTTACATCTTACAAATACAACAACAACAACCCTTATGAATCAGCACGGAACGCCTACTGCTTTTTAACACATTAACCGACTACAACAAGGCGGAATGAGTGCTACACGAAAAGTCGGAGGTTCGCGGACTCACAGCAGAAATATCCAGCCAAGTGAATACATTTAATATTAGAAAGGAACACGGCTTGCAAAAAAAAAAGCCTATTAGTGGTAAAGGAATGATTTTACGGACATTCTGACAAATTCGCCTCCACACCCACAGTCCCTTCATCATCGTTTTGGCTTTCTGCATCTGCACTGGTGCTGTGAATGCGAGATGCAGAGTCACATCGGTGCCGATGGCACCAAATTACCCAAATTGTGAGAAATCCCTTCAAACATTAGCCCCATTCGAGAAGTGGAAGAAAAGCCTTCTCGACACCTTCATCAAGTGTCGTAAAGAAGGATACCCTTCAAATTCATACACAAGCAAAGCATTTAACTTTTATGCAGACGTTATGAGACCATCCCAAATTGCAAAACAAAGGGGAAGAGGCCAAAAAGGAGGTCAATGGCGGCATCAACAATGACCTTTCAAATTGCAACATGCCGCTAATAAGCCCAGACAACCCTTGCATTACGCCATTTCACACTTCCAAGGCATGTCTCATTTCATCTTGGTAAACTTGTGCCTTCTAGTTGCTGGGGTTCAGTGAAAAGATCGCCTTACCCCGATAAAGCTTAGCATGAAATGCTTTCTTGAGTTTCTTGAAAAAAAAGAGGCTGTAAACTAATCGATCTGTCGAAAGAAAGTGCTACGCCTTGAAGCCACTCCAGACTGGCATTCACCACCTCTGTTTGGAATGGGAGAGGGGCTGAGAGAGGGCAGGAGATACTAAGGCCTTCTGGAGACTCCTCAAATCCCTCAAATTAGGGATTGACACCCCTTCTCGGCACTAGGACTTCCAAAATCACACGGCAAATGGAATGGACAGTTGGAAAATGAAAGAGAGATGCTAAAAACAGATGTAGGCAAGGGTGAGTTTTCTTTTTTTTTTTTGTTTGGCCCACAGATTCAAAAAAGTGCCTTCCACTGAAAAGGGATCGCCTATTCTAGGAGGTCCTTTAAAAAGTGTCCCACTTTCCACCATACAGAGAGCCAAAGTGGTGTCGCCTTTTGGTTAAAAGTGAGAACGAAACCACATAGAAAATCTGTGATTTGTGAATAAAATTCTACAAATTCTACACAAAATAATGGCCTCACAACACACCCTAGTGAACATTTCTCACAACTTTGTGTTCATTTGTGTGTCGTCCCCAGTTGCCTGCCGACACCATTCTCATACGTGAATAAAAATGTCCAAGTAATTTGTCATTTAAATGTACATGCGAAATTTGTATTCTTGATGGCTTCCACTAACTCCTCACTGATTGTCGCATCACCTAGACCAAACACGATTAGAAGCTGCTATTGATACAGTGAAACTCCGGCTACCGACAGCCAAAACCCCATCCATTTACCTCCGCATCGCTCTGCCTCCCTTCGGCCTCCGCCCTCCAAACCTGTTTCACAAGCCGCCATACGAGACCGACAAATGCGCGAACAAATTGTTCTTGGAAGGCACGACATTAAAGACAAAATAGCATAGAGCATGAGGTAGACAGATCACTCTACCTAGAGACAACTATGAGCAGCCTTCTGAAGTCATGACAGGGCGAAAATCCCTTCCGTTACCCATCATTTGAGAGGGACAAGTTCTGCGTCGACTGCAAACACATGAGACCGTACTAAACCATCCAATTTCACATCAACAGCATCAGATCCGCAGGTCTCTGCTAACCATTTCGCCTTCAACTTGGGTACAGGCAAAGAGGAACGCTTGTTGAAAACCCTCTGAATTTCGAAACACCGTTCACTTGTCCGTCCTCTCAGCAGAAGTGATAATTATGCATGCATACGTAGGAGAGGAGAAGTTGGCTATTACTGACGATCATTAAATTAATTAATTGGAGTTAATTGAAGAAATTAATCACTCCAGCTAGGGAGACTGCCTCATAAGTGTGCCTTCACAAATTATTTGTTTTATTACGATGCAAATGGTGGAAGCGGTGTCCGCACTGTGGCCTATTTTATATTCACATTAACGCAACTCATTTGGGGAGGACATCTACCTTAATTGAGTCGCAATGGCTTTCAGGGTCATCAAGCCTTAGTGACCTTTCAACATCTATAAAATTGCACTCGGAGGCCAAATTAGTGGCAGCAATAAGCAAACCAACTCTCGCAGTGCCTACTCACCTCTGACACCACAGAAAGATTGGGTAACAAAAGACAATAATGACCAATGTGATGTATGAATAAACGATACATTTGTACCGTCTGTACTACCAATAAAAAGGTACGACTTTGAGGAACTCACATTTATGAACGTAGCAGCGACCGCATTGAAGACTGCAAAAAGGTCCAACACTTCGCCTGATCTATTGTCCACCACGTAGACAGGACGAGAAGCCAAACTGTGGAGTCGTGTCCAGGATATACGAGGTTGCACATTAGCAAACATACCTTCGTTCCCATCATCACACAACCTGCGACGTACCAACCAATGTCGTAATTGCTGTTCTCGTGGTATGACAAAGGTGCACCGTGGCTCCACCAAACGACCGTCAATCAAGGAACACTAAAAGCAAACCATGAGTGGAGAAGTCGAGAAGACATACATGAAGAGATGTAAAATGAATTGGGGCAGCCTCATCAACCCAATTCACTGTGATGAGTCCTCCGCTAAGGGGTGGTGGTGTTGTTGAAAGACCCGGAGCCGTTTCGATGCGAAGTTGGAGAGGAGAGGCGCTGCGCATATGGGTGAGGAGGGCTTTAAATTGTTCAGTGGTGAGTCGCGCGACACACCCGTCTTCCACCACGGTGAGACTTGAATTACAGCCTTCGACACCTTCAATTAGGACGAAGGATGCCCCCACCACCTGCAGCGTCGTTAAATAGTAATTAAATAATATCGCTACTATTGTAATTTAGGTAGACATATGAACAAAGGCGAACAGCACGTCTACATTGGCGAAAGGGGAGAAAGGCATCAGCATGTGGGGCAAATTACACACCCAAGGCGCAATGCATCGCCTCTACACCAATAGGGTTAGATTCAGACCACTACATTCACTATGGCGTGTTTTTACACGCGACACATTAACTCCCACCCAAAGCACACAAGCTAAGCATAAAATTGCAGGAAGTCTTTGAAAGTATACCCACTCCACTTCGTCATTTTAACGACCAGTTTTCAAACATAAAGTAAGCAGATAAGCAATAAAAATGAGATGAGACGGCTTACTTGGGAGGGTGCACTCAGACTGCCTCATGTGACACAGTTCGTTAAAGTAGGTAGAAAGTCATTTTATTAAATTATACTTGGAAGGTTAAAAAAAAATATTTACAAAGACAGCAATAAAATGAAGGCAAGACGCCATTAAACGGATGAATCACACGTACATACATATACACCAGCACGCATAATGAAAAAGGATGTTAATAAAGTTGGGGAATGCAAAACAAAAAGGCAATCAATGGATAGTCCCATTGTAAATAAATAAAATGCATGCCAATTTCATGAATCTCATAGCCATAGAGTGGCACATTGCATTGTCTGGCTGAACAAAAGTAAATACGCAGAAATTGAGGGGAATTATTCAAATAAAACGATCCGGTAATTTCAAACCCCTCCTGTCGGTTGCTCACCATTTTGCTAGGATCCATAGAGTCATGAGGAGTGAGCCCAGTGGTTAGACCAGTAGCAGAGTCACTGACATAGAGGTGGCAATCAGCAGATGGGCAGAAATTGCCTGTAAGACCAAAGAGTAGACTCTCTCCATGTCCAACAGACTGTAGAGCTCGCCTAACATGTTCATGTGCAGAACGGCGGAACTGAAAGACAAAAGAATAACCCCTAGTCAACCGGCTTAGCCAGCATCCTATACAACTTTTCAGTGAGAAGGAGCGTTAGTGCTGTATCGGGTACCCACGGATAATACCTCACAATAGCCGTAAAGAGTGTTGCCTCTTGTTTTTATTGACAAAGAAGACTTAAACTTCAATGGTTGAGTTGGTTGCCAATTGCTCGACAATTACCTCAAATTTAGTATAGAAACCCATGATGCGAAATCCGCCGAACCAACCGATCGTAATCTGTGGAAAGTAACTCCTGAAAGCATTCTATTGAGTAAAAAGATCTCTAGATAATGGATTCATATTGCGGTTTTGTTTCTGGACAGATATAACGAGAGATGCACCGACATCATTGGCAACTTGCTCAAGATTTGCAACTCACTCCCAAAAAATTGTTTGTAGGCAATATAAGCATTAGCGATGCCATTTACTTGCAAAATAAAGTGCAAAAGAGTTAAGGATCGGTGGCAAAGTATTGTGCAAGCCAATTGTAACGAAAACAATACCTCCTACTTAATACAACTTCAGTAGAAAATAAGCTACAACTCACCAGTAATTGTAGACGCAGTTCTCCCCTCCCACCCAGACCCGAAACGAGGATGTTCAATTCAGGCACATACACACACAACACAGCACCTTTGCCTCTGCTTGCACTACATAGGGAGAGTACACTACTGGCAGTAGCGCCGTCGGCGGAAAAAACTGGCAACCGATCGCGGTCAGAAATGAGGGGAAAGGCGCAGTTGGAGCTCTGACTCAAGGTAAGGAGGAGTCGCAGTGGATGCCGAGTAGCCCATGTAACTTCGCTGGGATGGCGAAGGACGAGAGAAATGAGAAAAGGAGGAGTTGGGAAAAGGCAAAGGAGATCTGTGAGAGCCTCAGCATATCGTGAACAGGCACGAACGTAGAGGAAGCCACAGCATGTGCCGTCAAACCAGGTCGAAGATGAAGATTGTTGATGCTGTTGGTCAGCAAATGGATTTGGGAGGAGGAGACAGGAGCCCTCATCGAGGAAAGATGCAGAAGTAATGCTGTTAGTAGAAGTAGGTTTCGTGCGAGCTGAAATAGAGAGTTGAGTGATCATGGGAAGATTAATTCAACTTATTTTCAACCTTTCAGGCACGCTATTCATGCATTTGACCTGTGAATTTCCAAATGGCTGAGGGACAAGCAGGATAACGACAAAAGTACAGTAGCTTGCAAGCAGGTTTATGCACGCAATGCATAAACAAGGCGAATCGGGTGGTCAGCGGCTCACTTTGGAAATACGAGCAACAGGGGAAAAACGCAAGATCGTAGAGGAGGAAGTACTGCACCAGTGCATCAATTGGTGGAGTTGTTTCACCCTCTCGTCGACGAAGTAGGAGACAGACCTCCTCTTGTCCAACAGTGTAGAGACCATGGGAAAGGAAACTCCAGACGTTCACACCAACAATACTGACGAGAACGTGGAGATTCCGAGTCACAGCAAAGGTGACTGTTCCACCGTCGGAGGCCATGAGATCTCGCACACGATCATTCGAGGGCTGAGACTCGAGAACTAGCTCTGAACAGAAACGCAATGCATTTTGCCAGAAATCAAGTGTGCACATGTAAATAAGTTTGTTATCAGTTTGTGATAGCTCTTAATTGCCCTGCATTGCGCACCAAAACGACTGGATGGGCTTGTCGGGCAAGCAGACGCAGGATCCGCTTTACCCGAAGCCTAGTGAAAGATTCACTGTTAAAGGCAAAAGGTGAATGATAGTTGTAACCACGTTCGAGGAGGGAAATGCCTGAATTGTAATGGTCAACTTTCCCAAGAGAATCCCAGAGACCAAAGTGGCAAATGTGAGTTATAGCGACTATCATCGTGAGTTACTATGCGAGGGTCTCGGAACAGTGCAGATTTAGTTGGGACTTGATAAGACACGACTGTGAGAGGCCGCAATTCAGTTCCACTACTACCGCAACTCTTACATGAAACACAGTACGTGACGTGACCACGAGAGTCTTCTGCATACATGGGAGCGAGTTTACAAGTGGGACAGGTTCAATGAAACCTCTAAATGCATGTGCCCCTCTGCCTGCTGATCTCCAGTCAGTGTTAATTTCATTTCCGGTCACCATAACACCAGTCACTCGGTGCTTGTGTACATTTAGGGAAACGTCTACAAGGTATCAGTATAACAGCAAACGTTGGCAAGCACTGATGAAAAATTTGAGCAGGCCATCCCAAATTATATGGCAGATTTCAGACCCCAATTGGAAACGCATGAAAAGAGCGTGTTGCTGAGGGAAGGCATGAGAAAACAAATGTCCTTTTGCTTCTCCTCATATGTTCTTAAGTTTTAAAATATCACTTCGATTCGACCATTCTTAGCAACAAATCACTCCACACACGGAAAAGCAGATTTATACTTCAATCATGCAGTTGCTTTACTTTGGAGCATCCCAACGTACCGGGAGTTGTTGCAATAACCAAAGGAGGCCAAGAAGACTGGGATGCTGCTGGTGGAATGAGACAATCATCCTTCAGCATGCTAGAAACAAGTGAAGGGGACAAGGGGCGCCTTTGGAGAATGGCTTGGGGTGCGATGGACTCCGCGCCTTCAAGTGTTTGCGAGGATGGAGCTTGGATTCGGGACGCAGGCATTGTGGAGGAGGCTTTAGGACAAAAAGCAAACCACCTTCGCGAATGGAACAAATGCACATACGTCCTTTCAGTTCGCAAATAGTTATTTAGGTATTTAAACATGTTGCATCAAAAATAATGAGTTGTTAGTAGCGTGAACACTACTTATAAAGAGGATTTAAGTAGGCGCCACAAAACCATTGAAACTAATGAAGTAGACTACTTGATAAAACCTGAGCTAAAAGCATTGAACAAAGTAAATAACCGAGCACAAGTAGTCCCCAAAGTCCACCTTCAAGAGCAGTACCACTAGGACTGCCTTAATACTGGTAATCATTTAATGCGCTTCAGTTGAACCAACTGAGAAATTGATGAGGGACCAGCATACAACTGTGTCTTTGGCATTGCGGAAAGGAGTGTGTCTGTGTGTGTGTGCACGACTAAGGCAAAAATTCACCTCGAAAGTTCACCTCCTTGTGGCCTACAGGCATTGAACACTGACAAAGCCCAATTAGGAGAGAACTGACGCGTGATAGGTGTGGGTATTTGCAATCGCTACCAGAGGAGCACATGAGCGCATACGACAGTGTTTTACGACCCAACCCGAAAGTACGAAGAGGTAACAAGTGCCATTCACAATTGCTCGCAATTGCACCATTCAGGCGGGAATAGTAGACGGCAAAAAAAGCTTGAAATCCACCAAAACACATAAAAGCCCCAAGCCTCTAACAACTAATCCTCGCCTGCTTTGAGCCCTTAATTTACGGGTTAGCAAGATGCAGCAGATGCTCCGCCACCTCAAAATGTTCCAAACAAATGAGGCTGATGGTGGATCAGATTACAGATCTCACATTCATTGTCGATGACGAATTGTATAGTGCTAAGTAGGTGCTTAGAATTACAGTTTTTACTCCCACGTATCGATACTACTTTAAAATTAATCAGCCAACTCTTCAAAAGGGGGTAGATGATTTGTTTATAGTTTACTACGGGCAGTTTCATCTACCAAAAAATTTCCTGCTGAAGGCCAGACATTGGAGAATAATGCTCGAAGGTAAAGGATTGGGAAAGCAAAAAAAGTACAGAACGAGAGAGAGAGAGATGGAAAGAAAATTACACCACAGAAACCATTATTAAAGAATAGAAAGCCTGCCAAAGTGAACCACTTAAAATGGAAGATAATGCATGAAATTCAGTGATGCTTTTTTACAAAAACAGAATCGACTGAGGAAGTTGGGACACTGAACGCGCATAATACCGCGTGCTGAAGCGCACCTTTACGGATGCATGCGGGAGGAGACATAGCCCAGGGTCATAAAGAGTAAATAACGAGCTTAGCCTTACACGACGCCACAGTGATGGTAGGAGATGGATAAGCTTGAACAGGGGAACCTCTGAACATTTGGCGGAAGCACTGAACACACACTCGATGAAGGCGAGTTTCGTTGCTACCAGCAGTGGTGACATTCGAACCGGAGACAAGTCGAAGAAGGCTGCCTTCTGGGGAGGAGTAGGCGGAGGAGGGTGAAAAGGAGGGAGGAAGAGGAACTCGGTGAGGCGTGCATGTGGCACAGAGCAGGCGGCCACAAGTTCGACAATGATGACGACGTCGTATCATAGTGAAACGCGAATTACAAGCCACGCAGACCGTTGAGCTGGTGTCGGACGCCCATTCCGGGGGTTCGAGAGAGAGAGGAATCGATTGGGCCTGTACCAGTGGTAATGTAGATGGCAAAGATGGCGATGCCTGACGCCTGTCGGTTGATGTGGCTATTGCATTCTCGTCACCATTCTCATCTAAGGATGAGTCACAAAGACGAAACCGTTTGCCGTCGTGCGACTTGACCTCCCAATTATTACAACTTATAAGGCCTTTAAAGGCAAATCCCTTTTGAATGTTTTAATAAACGATGCAACTCTGTTTTTCTTAACATGAAATAGAATATCCCAGAAAAAGGGTGTAGTAATGCCGCTATGCTGGCAATGATGCCAAAAGAATGAAAAGAGAATGGAACTGAAGAAAACACAAGAGCATCGCTCATACTCCGAGAAAAAGTGATGAGCAACTCCAAACAAATATGACAAATGTTGCGTAATTAAAGCCCTCAGTGGTTCTTTTAAAGACTGACCTTAAGACACCTAAATGTCCTATAAAGCATAAATGAAGAAGGGTATAGAACACAAATGAAAACAAAAGGATCCACCATCACCACCAGCAATCCAATTTGCAAGTCACCATTCTTTGCGCCCTCTTCAAGGACTGAAAAAAAGGCAAATTCTAACTGGGCGATCAAAAGGTACAATATCGAGGCAAGTATACACAGCCCATCCAAAGCAATGCCAAACGAGCTGGACATTATTGAGGCGCGTGAGTAAAGGCTTCCTTATTGCTCTGAGCACAAATGCTATTGGACACGCATACCACGCCAAATTCGAGATTTTGCATACGCAGAAGTGCGCCAAAAGTTGAAGTGCTGCTTTAAACGATTGCTGATGTATGGATTGCGCAAGCATGAGGATCTTCCGACGCTCTAGGTGGATGTCCAAGACTTTCCATTGTTAGTGGGGAGAGGTAGTGGGTGAACCCTAAGTCATGGAAATCAACTACTAACAGGTTCCTGAAACTGCATCAAAAAGGATTCAACCTAGACTCACAATTACCGCGTAAGATGGAGACCTAGTCTGATACTATTGGGAGAACGTAGATTTTGTTCAGGAAAGAGAATAAGTGGCTAGGCGCTCTGAATACTAAGTGAACTTTGTAACGCAATTTTAAGAGCAGCAAGATTAAAAGTGAAGACTAGAACAGAGAGTCCGCAACATGCAAACGCCAGACGTTCGTCAGCAGGTGAATTAAACGTGAAAGTTGTTTGAAGTAGGCTGGCGCCTTTTCGTCTTTCTGTAACATTTGCTCCTCCACCGAAGCAATAAGGTAACACTCCGGCACCTTACAAACTCCGTTTGCACGACTGAATTGCCGCTGCAATCATGTGCACAAGTGCTAGCTCCTTCAGATTAGGAATGTTTGTAAACTACTTTTTAGGAAGACTTGGCCATCCCTTAATCTACTCCTTTAAGAGGCAGGTATAAACACGCCTTGAATCAGAAGACAGACTTAAAAGCTAGCAAAATCTTCGGAGAAGTTACGTCAACGTACCAGTGTTGTCTACAGATCTTCGTTCATAAAAGTCCTTAGAATAGAGCTCTATTGAATACCCACACCGAAAATATTGACGCCTGTCCCAATGTCTGAAGTAGGCTGACGCTAGAAATAGTCTTAAGAGTAACCACTGCATTCAATGCAGTTATCCTAATTGTAAATGTGATTCCTGTCACTAAGCTAATGCAGGTGGATCAAATACTAAAGATCTGAGGTGACAGAAAGAGTCAGTAAAGGTGTTTTCGTCAAAATATATGTGAACAGTCAAAGCAAGGCTTGAAGAGACAAATATTCCAGCAAAACGGAAAGGTTATAAAGCCCTGGTTTCTCAACGGTGCGCAAATACAATGCGCTGAAATGGCTACAAGGACCAAATTTTCCAAGCAAAAGAAAATCGTATCAATTCATCAGTAATTGACCTGGATGTGTAAGCCTACGATCTATTTAAACGCCGACCTTGCCCTGTAACCGTTTTCCCTTTCTGACCTGTAAATATTGCTACAACGAGGGTTACGATTCATACTGAGAACTGAAATCCAGCTGCTTCCAATCAAGCCTAGCCACAGAGTGTAACAACAAGCAACCTCTATACTACCCCCACTGTGTCTGCTAGATAACATATATTTTTTGGGGCATTATAAACAGCATCCTGCAACTACACCAGGCCAACCCCGTTTAAAGTAGACAACGCTGGTGGAGTTGACCTCATGCTGAAAATGTACTTTCAAAAATGAACGCGTGCTTCAAAAGTACACTTTCTACTTCCCGTCTCAGTTCGGGTACAGCTAGTAACCGTTACTTTGCGTTCTGAGCTGCAAGAGCAGGCGAATAACCTGGTGAGAGCTCGTCACATGATACGAGTGGGTACCGACAATTGCTACCTCATCTCCCATTGTTAGAACCATTGATAGGGGCACAAACTTTACTATTCTTTGGTGTGCGGAATGTGTTTCTCAATAAGTTGATTCGTACAATGTTACTTACATGCAGCATGAATTGAATGACCAGTTAAACAAGTGAGGTAGAGCCACACAATTGCCGGAATGCGTGGTATTTCACACTCTTAACAGGAGTCGAAAAGGCCGGGAAAGCATATTCAGAACTTGAACAAAAAATGAAACGGTTTTTAAATCTATTACTTTCCAATTCCTTAATGCTTCCGCAAGTGCCACTGATTGCATATGGTAGGTTATCAGATATACCTACAGAATGTGGGGTTTATATTGGCGCAAAAGAGCATTCAGATTACATCAGCCAATAAAAAGAGGGCCAAAATGTTAATTAGCATCTTTAAAAAAAGGAGGAGAAAGTACCCTCGTTGACGTTTACGGCTTCGGTAAGGGGTGAACTATCACAAACTGTCTCCGAGATGGTGCCCTGCATCACTTCAGTGTCAGTTCCAGATGGTCGAAGATCTTTCAGGACAGGATTTCTAGTGATGTGTGAAGACTCATTCGGTTGATTCATGAAAGCGTTCGGATTAACAAAAGCAGGATGCGAGATAGTAAGATCTTCTAGAGTGTAATTCCGCCGTTGGAAATCGACTGAAATGATAATATCCACAATGTTAGGACAATCAACAGGGATATTTAAACTCATTAGAGATGTATGAAAGCTCGCCACTGTTTGTATTGCTTTTTAACTAACAAAAATGTATTTACCAGAGGAATTTTCACATCTCGTGGGTCCAACTGGAACCGAGTGACTTAAAGAAGTCAACTTTCTTGAATTAATCTTCAAAGAGTTAACTCCATCCGATGGTTTGGAATTGACAAAGTTAACACCAAGCACATCAGCACGTGTTTCTACCTGGTCGGGAGATACACATCCCCTAACAGATCTTCTTGACGCTAAAAGACGGAATACGGTACTGTGAAGAATAAAAAAACTGAAAAGGACGAAGTAGCTGTTAAACTAAACAAAACAGCTAATGATAAGCAAAAAGCTTCGCAAAAAACGCCAACCTACAGGCAAAGTGGTCAGGCAACGAAAATCATACTCCATGGAATTGTCAAAACAAAGTTAATTCACAAAGGAAAACTTGCGCAATCGGTTGAACCCGGAACAGGTAATTCCAAGAACACAGACAACCGGGCCGGTTTAGAATAAATTGGTAACCTGATTCCAATTCTTGAAAGTCGTTAAGCAATTTATCAAGATCCACAAGACGACTCATAGACAACTCCGCACTAAGTGGTCTAGGCACCGAACGTCAACGGATCAAATATAGCGCACACTTTTAAACTTTAGTGCCACTTAATTCTACATCGTAATATAGCTTTTGTAGCATGAAGCATACCATATTAAATATAAGTTTATTTTGACCGATAGCAAACTTGACACCCCAGCAAAGCTCACTGCACAAGCCAATGGCCAACATGAAAGCCAGTGTAGCGTTTGTAATTTTGAAAACAAATGATTTTTATAGTTGCTACACTTCCATTCTTGAGCGTTGCTTTAAATTTCTTCAGTTCATTTTGCACTTTAATAACATTATTCTAAGACAGAGTTAATATTTCGGCAAATATTGAAATGTTTATTAGACTGTGCTGAATGGCTCTGAGCAACTTCTGCGGTTAGTTAACAGTGCAAAGGCGCCTAACAAACCGCCTGGTCGTGTGTTCGAACACCTGTGGTGTGAGCATCTTGCCGACCTAACTATTTGAGGGAGGAACTCTTGAGTTATTTCGTCACGGTGGCATCTCCCTGTTAGAATTTGGCACTCGGTAAGGTAGCAAATGACTTTGGTGCGAAGGCTGGTTTACCTTCTATTTAACAGTGATGACCATAACTGCAATTGTGTTTGCAGATAAAACAGGTACTTACTGGCTAGAATGGGCTTGAATATGCAAAGTACTTGTCTTTGATCTACTTCCTTGAATGCTTGTGTGAGGCTTCGTTGTTGTCCCCACTTGCCGTGGATTATTAGAAAAATGAGACCATTCCTCCCATTACCCTTTGCTTTGCTGATTCTCCTGTCCATTATTTTCATTTAGCACACAAAGATTGATATTTAATTTAACCTAATTTTGTTTCAGATATATTTCTTCACAATGAAGGCAGTCGCATCGACTGCAAAGTATTTCGGAAAAACGGTATCTGGCACCAAAAAGTATGTTATGGCCGCAGATCTCCACGAAAAGATGGTGCAACTAAAACAGTCTGCTCCTTCTTCCACTTCAGACATCGATATGCCTTCAAGATTTGCTCTTCACCGACATGAATATTACCTTAACCTACCTGTTTTGACCCTTCCTGAACCACTGGATTTAGCTGCTACAGATTGTCTTCGGGAATACAGTCTCTTTTCCATCAAACAACTCAGTCAACTGTCCACTCGCATGGTTAATTACCTCCACGAACGGGAACTCCTTTCCGAGGTTTAGTCACTTTCCTCACCTCGAATTTTTTCTTATTAGCGAGAAATAATTGAGCGAATGAAGCGATCTTGTGAAAAGCCCACTCAAGAAGATGAAGGTGACTCAGAAGAGGCTGATTTAGGAATTGATTCTGCGCTTCAGTATCACAATCAATATCCGTTTTCCGGTTCTGACCGTAGTGAACGAGAGGTCAATAGGGCTCACCTCGCCGCTTGGAAGTCATTAGCGTAATGATGTTTTCTACTTATTGGCGTTCTCAGATATACGGAGAGAAATAGCTTGTTATATATGGTTGGCCGTCTTTCGCCAAACTTTGCTGTCGCTTGTAGAGTTCTCTATGAGCTCCGTAAACGATGTCCTCTTTTTGTACCTCGCACGTTTTTTGACTTTGCATCGGGGCTAGGAACATACACTTGGTGAGCTTTGTTGGTCGAGCGATTCATTACTCAGTTTTCACTACGCCTTCATTTGCTGTCACATTTAGGGCGGTAAACACCGTGTGGCCAGTGGGTTGCATTCGTGAGCATCATTTAGTGGAAGCATCCAGACCAATGATGGTGCTTTCTGAGTTTCTTTTATCTAAGCGAGGAGAGGGTATCGCGCCAAATACCACCGTCTTTCCTGGTGTTCGCCATCGACAATTTATGCCCTCTGTTAAAGTAAGATAGCGATTCTTTCCGTCTTTTCCCTTGATCGATGTTGTAATTCTGTAACATGTTTATCTATTATCAGAACATTTCTGATTGCATGTTTATGCCATCGTGAGAGCTCACCTCCTTGGTAATTTCTCCCTTGACAATGGGTACTAAAATGACTTTGTATCGGGACCTTCCTTTAACATTGAAATTGATAGACGTGATTCAGTGTATTTTTACATTTAATTCTTATCTATTGACCAATATCAGTAGCTAAACTATTCAATTTAATGCGTTGAGATGCATTCGTTGACTATATTGCACTACTGAAACTACTTTTATCTCAAGAAGAATGTTATGTTACAGGGTCTAATTGGTCCCATACGCTAGTTTCCTCTCATTTTTCCCATTATGTTTTGTCCTGTGTGTCGGTCCTTCTACAATCCTGCGAATTCATCCTCTTCGGTTCACATACCTATTAAAGGATGTAGTACTTTCCTGTGGTTGTCACCAATGCCGGGTCCGTCGAAGTCTGGATGAGAAACTAGAAGCTGGCGTTATTTGAATTGAATACCAAAATATAGCTTCTCTGTGGCATCACAGAAGTCCACCAGTTAAATTGCTTTTCCAACGACATCGCAATCTTTCGTTCGTAGGTCTTGAATGTTTGAGCGACCAGAATTTTTCTCCTCCATGCTAGTTGACCAGTGATTTGGTGATGTCGGGTTACGCTCTGTTGGAAATGGCTGGAGAGCATGATCGTCGAAGGATTGTGGAGAATCTTTGGTCTCGTACTACCGATTTTCTTATTCTCATCGAAGAAGGTACCAAGGCCGGCCATGATGCTCTTCTCGAGGCCCGTGAATGGCTGGTGAGATTTTAAAGTTTCTCATTTGATCAGAGTTGCAATTAGTAATTCATGTATCGAAGACAGGGCCTGCACTTGGTATTTGCTGGTGGTAGCACCACTGCCTCTTACTTATCTTTCTTTTTATGGCAAGTTAAAGTTCTCAAGTTAATGTAAATGTTTGTAGGGTGCGCAGAAGCATTCATCCAGATCTCTTGTATCAATGTGAGCTTTAACGCCGCGAGGGGGTTTGCAGAATGTCACGATTTCTCAGTGAGCTAAAAGTTCGGGGCTCACCCTCATACACATACACGCAAGCATGTGGAGGTTTGCAGTGTCAAATGCGTGCAAACTACAAATGAATTTATTATTCGGTACATAGGTGTGCAAGGCCTATCACTGCAGATATTGTTACTATGCTTGTTGATGTTGTGGGGTGATTAAAGCGGCACCTTAGTTTCATAGGCTTAAGTTGATGTTGCTTTCTTTTCCCCCGTGTCACAATGAAGTCATGTGGAGTGAGAGGTATTGTCTCAGCTTCATTTCCCTTTCTCTGTCAAATCGCATTATCTTTGCTTTCAAGTAGAATGGATTTCAATACATCATCTCTTTCTCTTTCGTTTCTACCAGATTCAGAACGGTGGCGAGGACATGTACATTTTTGCTCCGGTGAGTTACCACCCTTTTACTTGCAAAGCAATGATCGCACATAATAAGATTTTACGCATTTCTGCTTTCCAGTGTCCACACAAATTTGCCTGTGCCAGGGCCGGAATAGGATGTAAATCCAGCGTGCGGTACTACCAGTTTGGTTTGACTCGAGTAAATCGTCGTTACAGAGAGTTCTATTTCTTCATCATATGCATTTCATCCTTTGCTTTCATCACATCTCTTATCAAATCAGTGTGAAGGGAATTTGGTTTTTTCCTGGTATTGGCATTTTGTTTAGGGGCCCATTTATTTTGTCTCACTATTTACTTTCTTAATTTAAAGCAATCATGAGTCTATTGTTTC